GCGTAGCTTGCTTAGGCTTTCCATCGTAACAAAGCGTGGGTGGCTGGTATGCCTAATACCCGGTATTTTTTTTTAAGGTTATTATTAGGCTTGAAGCAAACATACCTTACTGCAGGGGCGGATCCTAGCAAAATGTATTGGGTATCGGGCGGGTCCAAGCTTCGCTTAAAATTTACGGAGCGTAAATCGCAGAGAAGCTATGCGTAATCCAGATGATATGAATGACCGTTTGGGAGGCATGGCCCCCTGGCCCTCTGGATCCGCCACTGCCTTACTGGCAAGCCTATTATTAGTGTTAAGAGTGATGTTATTATTAGTAATTTTTTGAAGATTGTGATTTATGAAATGACCTTCTTCTACGGAACTATTGCCGTGTTTTTAGTCAAACTAACTTATTTCTCTTGCTTACCCTGCTTCCCCATCCATACATACAATTTCTTGCAGAATTTGTTGGTCGTGCTTAGAGCTTCACTAGGACAGCGCTACGTACTGCCACCAAATGTTACAAACCGATTGAAGTCGCAGTTTCGCGTAAAACATGTGAACGGCACTGCTTTAATAGTTCTTTCGTTGGAAATACCGGAGTGGCGCCAGTTGATTGTGTATATGGATGAAGAGATTTAGGAAAAAAACACTTCTAGCTGGTCATGTGACCTCATTAATTATGCACATAACTACATGTAATTGTCGAAAGTGAATTATAGATATGCAAACATGCACATTATTCTAATTTTCAGTGATCTATTAAAAATATATCTTACTACAGTAATACGTTAAAATACTGTAACTTTGTGAAACCAGGATGTACTACTAACCGTAGCTGTCGTTCATAGCTCTTCTTGTTTCGAACAAACGTGCGAATTCGAAGTGGCGATGTGGTATCGCAAATAATAGTCGGTGAAAGTACGCTATTTTCTAATAGCGCACAATCGACACTATCACCAATTGATAGTATGTTTATTAATCTCTTATTTGAGCGAAAATGTTGGACCCACGGCTATAGTAACCATTGACATCTATACCAACATGGTTCAACAATCTGCTAGTTGCAAGCCCACCATTGCTGCTTGCATATATATATTATATTCTACTAGAACTATAACTTTAACAATGTGAGTAAAGTCTGTTTAAACAGAACAACTGTAAACACTTCTTTTAGGGCCGTGAGTTACTACAAAACTGCATTTATATCTTCACAACAAATTACAGTACAAAGCTGTAGATCGCAATAAACTACTATTATTATTTTTATTCGGTATTTCGCGTATTTTTATGCTGTATTTTGTATGAATGTGAACAACGAGATTCGACGTTTTAATTTCGTTGACGAAATTCATATGTGATTGGATATCAGAGGTCAACTGATAAGACTGTCATATACTTTTCGATTATTAATCATACACATAACTATACATGAATAAATGCTTTATGTTTATTGTTTATAATTTGAAAATATTGTTTTTTATTGTTTAATATTAAATTATTGATTGCTAAATATATTTTTATGTGTGTATGTATCCCAGATTCATGGATTATTCATGAAATCCACACACATAAAAAAGGGCTACTGACCA